GTATTTTTGGTAAAATAGATATTTTTTATATTAAATATTTGACCGATCGATGTAATTCGTCAAGCAGAAACCGAAAAGAAAAGTGACGCTTGTGGTGTTTGCTGACAATCCGACCCTGCTTCGTGTACAAATGCAATGACATTTCGGCAGGGCTATAGGCTACGAAACCTTTCAAACTCGAAAAGGACGAACTGTTTTAAAGAAAAAAGGTACTTCATTTTTGGTAAAAGTAATAGATAATTTTTTTTTTCGCTAAATATTCCACAGATCGATGTAACTCGTCAAGCAGAATCCGAGAAGAAAAGTGACCGGGGGTGCTGTTTGCTTACAATCCGACCCTGCTTCGTGTACAAATGCAATGCCATTTCGGCAGGGATATAGGCTACGAAACCATTCGAACTCGAAAAGGCGCTACTAATTTTGAATAGGTACTTAATATTGGGTAAAAGTAATAGATAAGATTTTTTTTTAATTAAAATATTTGACAGATCATGGTAACTCGTCAAGCGGAATCCGAGAAGAAAAATGACGGATGTGCTGTTTGCTGATAGTCCAGAACGGCTTCGTGTACAAATGCATGGCGGGGAGACCAGAAAGTTTTCGAAAATGCGTGAGTGGAAGTCTGCGTTGGACGAATTTTGAAAATATCTGAAGGTTTAACGAATTTTGGAGAATTCGACAGAGCTACAGACTACGAAACCTTTCGAAACGAACACACGTGTCCTGTTGAACTTGAAAAAGACGAAATTATTTTTAAAAAGGTATATTGTTGCTAAATAATAGATTTTTTTTAATTAAAATATTTGACAGATCATGGTAACTCGTGAAGCAACATCTCAGAATTGAATCGGGGAACGAGGAATCAAAAAAAGATTAACAATTTGGATCATTTTGGAAGATACATACGCCGCGCTTTTCAAAGCGGACAGACGTGCCCTTGTCCAACTGAAACGAACACACGTGTCCTGTTAAACTTGAAAAAAGACGAAATTATTTTTAAAAAGGTATATTGTTGCTAAATAATAGATTTTTTTTTAATTAAAATATTTGACAGATCATGGTAACTCGTGAAGCAACATCTCAGAATTGAATCGGCGAGTTGTGTATTTGCTGGCAATCCGAGCCTGCTTGGATCATTTTGGAAGATACATACGCCTGCGCTTTTCAAAGCGGACAGACGTGCCCGTGTCCAACTTGACAAAGGCGGAATTATTTTAGGGAAGGTATATTATTTGTAAAAAAAAATATACAATTTTTAAGTAACATATTTGACAGACCATGGCAACTAGTAAAGCAGAATCCGAGAATTCAATCGGCGGCTGTATGTTGACTGACAAGAATATAATTGCTGTTAATCCGGCCCTGCTTCTTGTACAAATGCATAGTGGGGAGACATGAACATTTTTCGAAATTACGGCCCTATCCTCTTGGGATTCTACGTTGGACAAATTCTGAAAACGACCCAGAAATATAATTGGTGAGAAAATAGTTTTTTTTTGTTGTGTTAACAGATAACAATTTTTTTATTTTGGAAATAAGGGGTTTCAGTGTGTACTGGTATTAGTGAATCAATTTAAAGACCTCAGCATCTCTAAACCCGCATCTTGAGACGCGTTAACGATCCGGGTCGAGTTACGTCGCGTAATTGTGTCACTTTTTTAATTAAAAAAATGAAAGAGATGTACCTACCATACTTTAGAAACCCCTACTCCCCTTTGGAGGTGATGAAATAAGTTTTGGCATAAAATATAAGTTCCTCGTATTACTTTGATATAAGTATAAGTCTTGCCTGTTTTTTTTTTAAAGGAGGTTCAAACCCGTGCGAGGTGAGGTTTGATATATGAAACAGACCAGTCATGGGGACACGAGATATGGAAAGTTTCAGCGTAGTCGTCGCCACATTGCTGCCAACACTGCATATATAAGGAATCACGAACCATTCAGGTAAAATTTTGAAAACACATATTTATGGCAATATAGAACCTCTCTTTTTTTTAACAGGAATATTGAGACTTAGACCAGTATCTTTTTAAGTAGGCATGTGGGGTAAAGAAGACGCAGAAGCTTCAGTCGGGTACCATCGGTAACGTAGGCGATTGATATATTTCCACCACTACATATGTTGGATTGGAATTTCCCATTTGATGCTTTGACTGACTAAATGAGGAAACTTGGAGGTAAGCTCTTACGGAATTCTATCGAAATATGTTTAGTAACATATTGGTGCGTTACTCTGTCTTCCAGTCAGTTTCACATAAACTTTGCACGTATTATAAAAATGCCACCTACTTTTTTTTGTGTTAATATTATTGAAAGTAGTAGCTGGTAGCTGTACTCGTAAGCCCAGAGAGTCTCTGTTTTGAACATAATACACAAAATGGGGCGTTCAAAAACAATAGACTGCATGCCTTTTAGAGTCGGCGTAAACTATGGTCATATACCCCTGATCAAATTCAAAACTACAAAATCGTTGTGTCTCTGTATTAAAAATAATAGTAAAATTTATTGTAGGCACCTAGTAGAGTATCGAAAATTTCCATTTTTAGTGCCAAATTGGTTACTCCAGTAAATTCCAACTGTCCTAATTTTTTTTTAATAATTTATGATGTTAGTGAGTTTCATTGCGATTATTTGTTACTTAAATTTTCTGCGTATTAAACCTTAATTAACAATACGCTATTCGTTAACGCATGTAGAATTAATGACGCTGACTGACCTGATTTTGTCCAGGGGGGCGTAGTACGGTAGTTTGTACTGTGATGTTTGGTAGTTTGGCAGTGAGCTCTCATTTATGAAACTGGGGAATGTTTCGTTATCTTCAAATCCTAAACACGTATCAATAGAATTATATTTTTAAAATATTGATTAGGACATGTACTAAGTAACTAAATGCTCTAGCGAAAATATTCACACATATTGCGGAAAACGTACAAATTTAAATTAGAGAAAATTAACTATTTTTAGAGGTTGGTTTTTCAAAAAGGTGGGGATTTAGTTAAAGAACAGATAGAGACTAAAGGGAAGCTCTATGAGAAAAGTTAGAATTAAAAAGTCGATGTTTTCGTGTCATAGCGAAAGATGGATTATTATTAAAAATAATACTTGCATTAATTGTTGTCACCATTTGTGAAAAATATGGAAAATATCCTCTAGGTTCGCATACCTTTTTTTTAATTTTTTTAAGGTGGCTAACAAAATACACAGACAGAAAAGTTTAGATCCTGTTCGTTAATGTAGCGCATAGAAAAAAATTAGAAAAGAGAACGTTTCGTGTATGGCATACGTAGTTAGTACGGAATATTAATCTGAAGGCTGCAAGACAGTGAAAGAGTGATGCGCTTAAGTGTGGTTCAGAGAGGTTATTTGGGCTGTAGAAGTTTTTCTTTGAACAGGGTTCAAATAGCGTCTCCTAGAGCGTTAGCGGAGAAGAGTATTACAGTATTTAATATAAGCGTTCAGATTTCATTATTGTTGAGATTGCATAGAAACACACTTTCATGTAGTAGTCGCAGCAGCTTTAAAGTATATGACTTTTTAGTTAAGATGCCTTTCGAGTTTGCTTTATGGCTTGATAGGAAATTAAAGGGTAGATACAGATAAGTTACGAAAAAAAAAAGTATGTACACTATCCTCAAAGATCAGCAATAAATAAAAGAAATTGATGAAATAGTAAAGTTGACTGCAATATCTTAAAATCATCAAAAAGATAGATAAATTAATTTTGAAAATATTAAATAATAAAAATAGCAAAGAAAATCAAAATCATCAATAAGGTAGATAAATTAATTTTGTAAATATTAGATAATAAAAATAAAATTATAATAGCAAAGAAAGCCTACCACGGCCACATACACATAATATTTTCGACATATGAACTTTTCCCAGATAAATAGTCAAATATTTCACGATACCTTAAAACAGAAGCATGCGGAAATATGTATGAAGTTAACGCACGGTAGATGGCTTAGTAAATTAAAAAGGTATATGGTTTCTAATATCCTACTTTATTAATGAAAATTTTAACCAGCTTTTTGTTTTGCAGATATTATTGGTGGTGCCTGCCAGCTTCCAGTTCCGAGAAAAGAAATCCGACACTTTTCGTCTTTATTTCCCCTGTCCTTTGTGCGCAATAAAAGTACAGTTTGTACCCGCGAGGGTACACATTCGCAGAATTATATGTTTTTAAAATAAATGTTTTGGTCAATATTCACTAGGTGGGTTACCTTATTAAAGAAAATCTTATTCCAAGAGGGGACACTAGTTTACATTCGAACCGCTAGAGGGTGCAGATGGTCACGAGAACAATATGATCAAGTCTCATTGACGCCATTGCTTTTCATACGGGTGGGAAAATATCTGGGCTCTGATTGGCTTCGCCGCAATCGCAAACTAGAGGTGGGGAGATTGATTAAACCCCATTGGTGCTTGCTTATCCAATGGGAGCCAGTTTCAAGGGATTATGGGTAAAGGGGGAGGAGCTAGAGAGTCGTGGGGAAGGAGGACACGCCCACAAAAGGGAGAGGAGTGGGATTGTCCCCAAACATACATATATCTACTACCGTTTGTATTTCTTTCTTTTTCTTTCCGTTTTTTTCTAATTCTTCTACAGGAAATAATCAAGAAAAGTTAATATAAGAGAAATCAAATTTAGAGGTAACAGCTCTCGTGTTCGGAAAAGTGGGGTTTCGGATTTTTCTTGGTTGCTAGGCTTCCATTTACTCGACTGACTTGACCCGATTTACAAACGGGTACCTATCTACCTCGGCTGCGTTTTAATATAACAGACCTTGCTTTCATTGCGCTAAAGATAATCGATTTCAGGGATTGCGATAGGGCAACCCCTTCAGTCGCAATATTTCTTTAAAACCACAACAACAAATAGCCTGCGGAAGATTTCATATGCAAATAAATAACACAGTCAATGAAACATTAAATTAGCGTGATTCATAGAGTATTTATTTCGTTACCAGCGCCATTTCCTTTTGGCCAATTATAACTAACTGTTCACCTGACTTATCCGGAGCGATTAAATATGATGCAACTGTTTGTTATAATACCGGTACGGCTAATTAATTATATGTAGCCAAACAAACGTTTTTGCTTCCGATTCGTTCTGGGTTCGACCCAATATTAGTTAACTGTTTTTTTTATGGTTTGTCCTCATTGCTTGATTTGGATCTGGGATAACCTTAAATACTTATTAATAATAAAATAATAATTTAGCACTACATTTTTTAAACGAATTTGTTTTTTTAGAGATTTTTGTTTGTTGGGAGAAGGGCTAATAACAACATCGATATCTTTTCAGTTTTGATGTCGACGGTTCGACTCTCTCTCACTTAAACATAATATTTTTTATTGGGTTTTAATTACAGTAGTGCTCGTCTCCATGTTAGAAAACAATGTCGGTGAAGTATGACCCTTCCTCATGATCACAAATCTCTCTCTCTCTCTCTCTATTTCTCTATCGAAAGTGGCGCATGCCTCTTAAGATCATGTTGTCTGGTACTCTTACAGTTTTTTCATGAATATCAGCACTTTACACAATCGGTAGTAAATTCAAACGAGACCTACACCAAAGACCTCCGCATGGTGCTTTAAGTACAATGTGGGCGGCAATAAGCCTAGCACCACACAGGAGGTGGAATATAGGATTCGTCGAGACTACCAAATGATTTTAAGAGTGATGCACAATGTACAAGACAGGTCAGCAATGTGCGACCACGAACAAGGGGACTTATATGTGGCTGACATTAAAATCCAACATTGCTTCACCTTGTATTAACTTCTCTACTTCACCTTGTATTATCAGTCATACCTAAGAAGATGTGGACAAACATATTTCTTGAATGAAGAAAATAATTTCGTATTTCCATTAAAGATACACCTTGTTATTTTCAACTGTGACCAAATGAGAGTAATTGATACGCGCTTACGAAGATTTCGTTTTAAAACTTTTATAGAAAAACTCTATTTGTTACAAAATAAATAAAAAATATATAATAAACCCTATATTTCATGGCTGGCAGTGAAACACTTACGATATTCAACTCTGCGTCGTAGTTGTACTCGTTGTCCTCCTCCAACGAGAAAAGGGGAGCGTGGTGGTTGACCGCCGGTTCGAAAGCCGAATGGTAGTCATAACTTAAAATGTTCATCCAATCCAAATACCTGAAACATGCATGTATGTAGGATTTTTTCTGATATGATGATGATATGATGAACTAATTAATATTTTTGTCTAGAGCGAAATAAATTTGATATACCGACGGCTTAAAACTTAAACAGGACTAGGAGCATATTTACCAAACCCAATTCTAATCTTCAAGGAAAAGAAGCTATCTAGATCAACAATAGATGAATTGAGAAACAACGGACGAAAATCAGTAGCACAATAACATTCAAGTTAGTTTTGGATCGTCCCAGAGCACTAAAAGAGTAAAGTAAACATGATGAGATCGATTGGTTAAGGCTTTCGCGGCCCGTTGATAAGCTATTATCTTCATTCGGGTTTAAAGGCCGTCGTCGATTGGAATTACTTCCTAACGTTTCGCTAGCACGAGTGGCGAGCTTCTTCAGAGGTCCTTCCATCTCCGATGTTGGACGTAGACGTAGACGTCCAACATCGGAGATGGAAGGACCTCTGAAGAAGCTCGCCACTCGTGCTAGCGAAACGTTAGGAAGTAATTCCAATCGACGACGGCCTTTAAACCCGAATGAAGATAATAGCTTATGATGAGATCATTTTCACGTATTACGAAAGCAGCCGTTAGAACAGTGCATCTGCATCTGGGACTGTAAACTAACAAAACCTGAATATCTGATTGATAATTATTTTCCTTTATAAAAGTTTTCATTGAATTATAAACTTTACCTCATAAGTTTCGGCACGTCATATCCTTTGTTGATATACTCGATTCCTGCTGGGACGGCCATGGTGAGAAGCAATCTGGGTCTGCCTGTTTTCTCCGATTCCCTATCGAACTCTTCTCGCAGCTCCTGCGAAATAAAAATTTAGGCGTATTTCCTGCGAGGAAGCGCGAACAAAAAAAGCAGAAGTAAAAGTTTCAGTAATCGAAACTGTAAGGACATTCTCTTGAACCTGATACAGTCGATGTAATAGCCATCGGAATTGCGCAAAGTGCGATTAATCAATCTATCGGGGCGCATCGGATTTTACATCGAGCATCAAGGAAATGTAGCAATAAATATGGTAGCGCGTACCAATGTATAACAAGGTATATACAGGTTGGCCAAATGAGCATGGAAGATGTTTTTTTTTTAATTGTATTGAAATGATTCTTTGAAGTTACAGGTACTTTTATTCATTATAAAAAATCGTATAGATACATAGATAGATATATAGATAGATAGATGGTTTATTGACTACTTTACAATATCTTTGTTGTAGCAAGTCATACAAAGGAAAAAAAATTAAATTGGATATATGTAAGTATGTGCTAATATAAAATTGTATATACTAAATCTAGATATACAATGTATATAACTCTACAATAACCGGACAATAAATAAAAAATAAATAAATTTATATGTATATAACACAGAACAATCAATGCACAACGCCCCGCAAAACGTCATTACCGATTTCTTCAAAAAATTCACCAAAGCTATAATAGCCCTTACTTAATTTTACATTTAGAATAGTTTTCGTTTAAAAGTTTAAATTATTTTGGCAATGTGTTATAAAACTTTATATAAGGAGAGTTTTGTTTTGATTTCTGCAACCTATATCTAGATTATTTGCACTCCGGGTGTCATACCTATGAGAATCAGAACCCCTCGGCAAACTATCGGTCTTGGAGTGTATCTCAAGAACACTTTGAAATATGCATGGAACCGTCATTATTTTATGTTTAATAAACAATGGCTTACAGTGTTCGTTAAAATTTGAATTTGTAATTATCCGTAGTGCTTTTTTTTGCATCCTAAATATTTTAATGGCATAAGAGGAGTTACCCCACACAGTATGGTGGCATAGTTTATACGCGAGTGAAATAAATCAAAGTAAGTAAAGTCAATACATCAAAACTCTGCGAAGTTGACGCAAAAGAAAATGAATATTTAAAATATTTTTACTTAGCTTGCATCCCCTGCCACATGTCAAGCTACTGCTACTAGACACTAATAAATTCTTCGTTTTAGCTTCATTCAGTTGTATATTATTTGCTGAAAACCATCCTTTGCCCTTAGATAAAGTATATATTTCAATATTACTCAGGGTAGTGATGTTCCTATTTGAATTATAGCAAACAGCACAATTTCAGTATCAACCATCATGTACTGTCAAATATCATTTATGTATATAATAAAAAGGAGGGGTCCCAGAACGGAGCCCTGGGGTACTCCAAACTCAACGCAAGCCAAATCAGATTAATTGGTCTTTACGCTCACAAACTGTTGTCTATCTGTTCAATAGGACTTAAAAAGTTTGAGTGGAACACAAATTCAAGCTTGCTTAAGAGAATCTGGTGAGAAACACAGTCGAAAGCCTTTGAGAGGTCGCATTAAGTGTTCTCCCCTTTCCAGGCCCCCGACTATGTCCTCCACCACCCTCATCAAAGCTCTAGTTGTGGAGAACTTGCTTCTGAAACTAAACTGGGCAGAGTCAAGTAATTGATTTACTTCAACAAATTTATATAGCCTCTCCTTTAACAGGATTTCAAAAACTTTAGAGAAAACAACAATGATAGTTTTTAAATATTGGCGTTACTTTAGAAATTTTAAAAATACTTGGGAATATTCCTTCAGTAAAACAACGATTTATCAAACTAGTCAAAGGTTCCACCAAAATATCCGCGGTCTCCTCGAGTATTCTGCTATTCAAGTCAAATGCATCATGTTAAGTTCATTATTGTTGAAAATATTTCTTCAGGGGTCGTAGGAAACACGTAAAAAGAACAATCTGGTGCGCTCAAACCCTTTAAAAAACAATATAGTGCAGATACCATAAAATATGCAACATTTAGATATTTCAGTAGACATATAACGATAATTACATAATATGTAGAGAAGAAAATCTATCAGAGGGATGGAAGAAAGTCCGTGGAAGGCACTACAATCACTTTTGTCACACTTTGCAGTTGTCAGCAAACCAGAGAAATTTGACAGTTGAAATAACTGGCAATGCTGTTTATAAAAAATGTGATCTCCATGGAATTGCCTATATTTTTCTGGATATAAAAGAATCTATACCAACGATAGTTTTTTTATGAAGATTGGTGTAAAGCGTTACAAGAAAGTCCTTGTACTTGAGGGATGAATTGCGTTCTACTAATAATATTCTAGTTAATACTATTAGTCTATTGGAGCAATTTTGAGGTAAGGGCATAACGAATAATAAATGTAGAAAACGATTTAGAATGAATAAAAATTTTAATATTATTATATTACCATCACCAGTTGGGCGTAGTTGTCTCTATCTCTAGGTTTTCCGCCATCTCTGAAAGTTGGGTATTCCCAATCCAAATCCAAACCGTCGAAGTGGTTTTGTCTTAGGAATTTGACGGCGTTTTTCACCAATTCCTTCCTCCTTTCCGCGTTGGCTACCATAGGGGAAAACCTCGACGAACCCTCGTTCCATCCGCCGATCGCGATGAGGGTTTTGAGGTTTTTGTTGTAAGTTTTGAGGCCGGTGAATTTGGCGTATCCACCTTTTTGGAAAGAAAATGTAACGAGGATTAACGGACACACAATTGAAGCTTGTAAATAGTGATGACGCGACCTCGATGAGTCGATTATTAAAAATCGCGTTGCCCAATCGCATTCTCTGGAATTTTAAATTTACATTGTTCGGAAACTTCGCAAGCTTTCATTTCGTTAGGCCATTGTTCGGCGGTTTTGTAAGGTGCGATAACAAAAATCGCGTTGGCTTTTCCTCTTGATTCGCAGTTTTTGTTGTAGATTGTGGAGGCTAATTTTTCTGTTGGTTCGTTGTTTCTATGGGTAATATGGGTGCGATGCAACCCGAGTTGCTGAGACAGAATAGTTTTTTTTCTGTTCAATTCCAATTTAAAATGCATTCGTGATTTTTCCAAAACTTGTTGCAAATATAATTTGACGGACGGCATGGAACTTATTTAAAGGCGCTTTAAAGTAAACCAACTACAAAAATATCATGTTTGATAAATATGTTTATTATATAAATACGTTGTTTTACATGAAAACCCATTAGATCTCCTGTATTCTTCAAACCTACTGTTGCTTGGAAAATATATTTGAATCAGGTTACAAAACTCGATGTTTTAAAATTGAAGAACAATTTTAATTTTGTTTAATGCTATCGGCACTGCAATTCAAATTTGCAGGCCATACTAAGTTTTTTATTGTGACTTTATGCTTGTTCATTATTACTGCTTTGCGAGATTAACTTTTAATTTATACTTTGTGTGTATACACCGTTAAATTTATAATGGTACATGTATTTACTATAAACTTTAAACTAAACTAAACTCTAGTTCAATAAAAAAAATTGTCGAAGAGGTTTTGTTAGTCTAAATAACTAAATAAATTTTCTGTTAGAAACCTGTCTCAGTCTCCAGAGTATCCCCATTAATAATATTATGCCCGTAGGCGAGTCGATTGAGATCTCTTATTGTTTTTGAAAAGATATTAATCTAGTAGTAAATATAAATAAGAACAAAAACAAAAGAAACAAAGTTGTAGGTTATAATTTTCACTGTTTTTTTTACAAGAATAGGCCATTGCAGATTTTTGAGAAGCAAAAATTTATTGTGGTTAGATCGAACCTTATGCGTGTTAGTTTTGCTTAGTGGAGAGTTAAAAATAAAATGACTTTTCTTCATCTCTATATCAGGAAGCAATAGTCAGAAAGTTATTTTTTAATATGATATGACAATATATTGATACTCATTGTTATAATAGGTTCGAATATGGGTCTGTATAAAGGCACAGTGCCACGTCATGCTCTTATACATACCTTTTTCGATGTCTTGGTATTTGTCGAACGGCTTAAAAGTATTTTCTTTGGTAAAACCCCCGAACGCATACACTAAATGTGTACATAAATAAGGGTTGATATTCTGTGGACTAAATTTAGCCTGGCCCGGTCTGTAGACTGACCAGTTGGTGTAGTAGCAGACTATTCGCATTTCCTTCGATTCTGAAATTAAATTTTGTTGAAACCGAAAACATTTTTTTTGTACGGTTTACCCACCTATTAGTGTCCATGTTGAAAGTGATATGAGGAGAAACAACCAACGACAGATCTCCGTCTGAAACAAATATGTCCCGTTAATCAATAGAAAACACGTTTTTTTACTAAGTGGCGCCTAAATTCTGAAGAAGCGTTTTTATAATAATAATTTTATAATAAATTTAGAAAATATTATACAAGAACATCCCTTGTGTAAAAACAAAGCCTTTGGTTTAATCTGTTTGGTCAATACTTTCCTTGGTGATATGGTTGTACCAAACATACATACATACCAGAAATTGCTGTTTTTCATTCTTTTACCCACAGACTTCTTAATACGCCATTTTCAACAGACCATTTAAAAATTGAATTAAACATAAAACAAATCGCATCACATTAATAATTAATATTGAATAATATTCACGATTAACTACATATGACCCACTAAGGTAGTATCAAAACATCTGACGGAGAAAGATATTTAAAAAATAACAAATCGAAATCTTAAAAAACTAAAAAATCAAGAATTTGTAGGTTAACATGTGGATCATAAAAATAATAGCTTACAATCTAATCGTGCGCCTAACTTAAATTCAAAAAACAATTTTTAAATTTTATTTACAACCTCAAGAAATAGAAAAAAAAATCTTATTAGACGCTTTCGAGATTATCAAAGTGAGATATTTACATGTATTCATTAGGGTTTATTGGCAATATTATTATTTACAGAGTGTTATTAAAATGATATCACATTTTCCGAGATTAATTCTTAAATTATATGTTATGTATATGTGTGTCATTTCAACACCCCGTATAGTCGGAGGTACAGTAAAATGTTTACATTTGACACGTACTGGTCAAAACACCTTTTATACGGTAAAAAATATATTTTCTGAACAACTTTGTGTGAATTTAACCATGAATGTACTGGGCACTTGACTTTGGTGCCGAATTGGTTCCATAACGTCCATTGCGAAATGTTTTCGCAAATCGGTTTCAGTATCGCGAGGTTGGACAAATTCCGTGAGAAAATGGCAAGGTTAATTAATAAAAATTGCAATTCTATAAACGGGTTAAAGAATAAAAAGAGCGAACGTTTAAAAAGGCGAGATACATTTATGTCTCCTTTAGGGCTTCTCGCGTAATTGGTCTGAGATTTCGATTCCTAATCAACGTAGAGTTGGTACAGGTCAGTTATGGGTACTCCAAAGTCGGATGGTCTATGAAAAGTATCGAGAGAACTGAGACAGATATTGTTACAATCAATTTTGCTTGCGTTCATAGAAGGCTGCTGTTTACATTTTAAAAATATCCTGGCATTTTAAACGGAACACCCCTTAGATTATTCAGTTTTTTTTTGTATTCCGCGCAAAATTCGAAATTTATTTTACTTATGATATATATATATATATATATATATATATATATATATATATATATATATATATATATATATATATATATATATATATATATATATATATATATATATATATATATATATATATATATATATATATATATATATATATATATATATATATATATATATATATATATATATATATATATATATACATATATATGACTACAAATTAGGGAGTCAATAACCATTTTTTTAAATGGCTAATTGTTGATATGCATTTTTTTTTGCTGCGAGGGGACAAATCTTTAAAAAGACACCAGGACTAAAAAACCACCTCACAGATTTCACGAAGGAAAATGTGCAACACTCCGTGCTTGCCTAAGCTATGACTTCATTCAACCATCTACCCCGCTACATATTATGCGCGAGCTATTCTCGCTCGTTAGCATATGGTGTACAATACTTTCAGTAGTTATTCTCTGGTCTATGTGCTGTTCAATTTCGAGGTGTTCTACTGTGCTACTACAGTTCTACTACAGCGTCATCTATGTCATCACAATAGTTGCGTTGGGATGTTATGCTCAGCTTGAACCTGTGGAAATGTGCCTGGAATCATTCGTGCTCTGACAACATCTGTATATCCAAGTAGTGTGTTCTACTAAACCAAGGCCTTACATCACGAATCATTTTCCCATTCCACTGTCTCATTTCTTCGATATGTTTCCAGGTGTCCTGTCACTTGCTCAATGTTATCTACCTTCATCTCTGTCCAGTCCCTTTTGTTGTGCATCGTTCATCTGTTTGCTGGTATAGTACTTGAGTACTTGAGTGCACAGTGAATAATGAAGCTGAAGTTTTAGAGTTTCACTTTCCTCAGGCTGATCGGAGCAGAGGTGAGTATTTTGAAGTAGGGAGTACAAATTATTTTTTTTTGTATTAAATAGTTGTATTATCACTCACTATGTTTACAAACATTTAAATAAAATTTTGTTTGATCGCCAAATAATGTGTGTAATAATGTATCAGCACAAATACACGAGCAGACGTTATTGGTCCATTTTTATCAATAAGCGTGAGAAAAACATCCATACGCATTTCTAGACTTGTTTTTCCATTTTTAAATTGGCTTCACTTTTCTATCACTCAGTGGCCATTGCAGTTTGCCAATGAATAAGATCCATCGTAACAAAAGAACCTACCTAAGCAAATTATATCAGGTATATCAGAGGATATGGGGATTTATTAGTTCAATTCGAAAATTTACATTACACACATTTAATAGTGTTAAATTGTAAAAATTGTAGTTAAATAACTAGTTGTATGTTGTTGTTGACCATATGCCCTAAAAAAATTGCCATTCTCACATACAATTAATTGAATGTCATTTTTATTGTTTCCAACTCCTTTGTCCGTTGGCAGAGGTGCAATAGATTTTAAGATTGTTTTAAGATGGAAGATATCAAAAAACAGTCTCACATTTGTTTATTTAAAATAACTGCGGGAATTTTTGCCTCAAGGTTATTTTTGATTCATAGATACGCTATTATTATAAAGAACCAATTGCTGCGCCAAGGTCTCGTAGGACAAGGAAACTGGCAAGTTTATAATAAACATAATTGATGATTTCGCGTCCATATAGAGAAAAGTTCTGTATTTTTATTTAAATTGAAAATAAAAGAAAATCAGAAGCTGTACGTTGCAGAAAAATGGCACAAGTCGGTTGCACAAAACAAGTCCTCTTATATTTATTCAACCGCTTTTACCCTGTAAAAGGACATCAACGATTTCTTAGCTTTTAATTAAACGTCAAGAAATGAAAAAGTTTTTTATAAAGCCGCCAGTCGTAGGAATAGGCATCGCGGTATTTCTTCTCAAGAAAACGCTTTTTATGACGCCGCCAGTCGTATGTGACGAGCCGTCATGTGTTTCCATTGTTGATTTTCAACAATTCGTACGTGACATCCTCCGTGAACTTCCTCTAATTTAACGCGTGAGATTGAATTTGTGTTAAAAGTTTTATGCAGAAAAAAATTGAATTTTTACATTATCCAGGTGACCAGTGCCGTGGCGGCAAATTCAAAAAAATGGACCTGGAAGTGAGAATAAAGAAGATAAAGAAAAAAACATTACGGTTGCTTACGTCACTGTCCTTTTTTTAATAAAGTAGTGGGATTTTGTGCGCTTTTCGGGAGAAAGATTTTCATTGAAATGGTATTGGGGTGAAATCTCATTTAAAATGCGTTCTCGTGCGAAGGAACACAAAATCTTTCGACAAATACTAACTCGTTATATAGATCGATAAGTGAAGAGATAGATTTTTGTTTACGTTCTTACAGTGTTAACTTTTGAAAATTAAAACAAAACTAACAGATACATATGGATATAGACTAAGTAAACATCAAAAATTTAATAAAATTGCATTTGCAGCTTACTTTGTAATTATTTTTGCAGACCACGAATTCGGTCCCTGACGGTTTATTTTGCATATAGCTACAATTTTAAAATTAAAGTTTACAGAGGAAGTAACTTTGCATAAAATAAGATAGCACTTGAAGAATATCGATCTGGGGCTTTATATTTGGATCAATCGATCTAATTTGCTTGCTTGCTCTGATTTTACTTTTCTTTTTATAACACTGTTTTTGGTGTAATTTTTCTGTCTTCTCCATAAGATTGGTTTTAGACCCATTTGGACACTTTTTTGCGAGTCCTGAGTTTAACGCGCTTGAAAACTTAAAATATCATCTTTGTTTCTATTTATACTGAACTCAAATTATTTGTTGATACTTCAAAGTTGTTAGTTAGTTTATTATTATCCTATTTGTGTCCCAAAGAGCAAATAAATAAATTTGTAAATAAATGGTCGGCTTTGCGAAAGCTTGGTTAAAACAAGGATATTTTCCAGTAGTCCTTTATCTAATTCTGGAGTTAATTTTGCTCAATAACTAAGGGAGTTGGTTTATTTTTAAATTTGTATAAGAACGTCGAATCCATCAAAATTATCCTTGGTTCTAGAAATGGTAGGTTCGGCAGGTTATGGAGATGGTCATAATTTAACGTTTCTGCTGCTATTGCAAGTCTGTAAGTCATAAAACTATCAAAATTTTCGCTGTACTCTTTCTTTGTATGGACAGGATAAGCAGCAGCTCGTAGTTTTTACGTTGGTTTAAATTGAAAACTATATAAATAATAAATTATCAATATTAATTTTTTAAATAAAACTACTGGGAACTTTGCTTCCACCATTACAAAATTACATGCTATCACTTTAAAGAACACGTTAAAGTTTTATCGGGATGATGGAGAACAACAGAAGGTATTCTAAAAATTTTTTTTTGTTGCCCCTTTCGATTTGAAGTAGGTGTTTTAAAAAAAAAGGAAAGCAAGAAGTAATACATTATCAAATACATTGTGACGCAATGAAAAAACCAGAAAGGAAATACATAAATATGTTTTTCGTTCGTGATAAAATATCGGACACTTAATTCGCACATTAGCCACTGCTCGAATATCATCGCACCATCTAAACGAAGATACTTTCTCTTGTCTGGTTCTCGAAACCTTAGTTTAAACAATTCGTTATGAAACCGTGTCAAATACTTTACCGATATATACGGTTTCGAACTACTTATTGGAACGTACGCAATTCCAATTATATAAACGTCCATAATAATGCACGTGTAAAAAAATATGTCGTTTAGATACGTTAAGTC